AAAAAAAAAACTTAAATAAAAACTTAATATAAAAACTTATAACAACTATGTACTTATCCATTAACTACATATGTACAACTAACAACATCAGTCGTTACCTTTATGAACTCCGCCAATGAGCAACAGAAAATATCAACCTTTTGTCCAACTCTGTTAATTATTTTAATAGCTCTAGCCACAGGAGCATATCGACCTATGTTAGTGCGACTGGTTGGGACCTCAAATAGTCTCTGCCTCGGGCTCAGCCTTAGCTTTGTATTTGGGACGAGCAACCTCAACGAAGCCAGTATGGATGGATTGTTCTGCTTACCCCGGAAAACCTCAAACACGTACTTTGCGAGTGCAACCTCTCGCCTGACCTCCAGCTTATAGTATCCCACCATGCCAATAACAAACAGAGAAGGATACATGAGTGGGTAATACGGGTACACTCCATATTGTTTTAGGTACAGGTACCGAGTAAACTTGTTTTGCATCTTCTCCACCATGAGGCTGTATTTCATCTCATGGGGGTTCCAGATTATAGCACTCGTCTCTAATTGACTCCTAACCAAAGCATTGTATAATATTTTTATTGTTGCTATACTTTTAAAATCCTTTGTCTCTCTCATTACAAAACCCAAACTTCTGTAAGCTTTAGAGCAAACCTTCGCGATATGCTCCCTGAATGACAAATCTTTGGTCATAAGCACTCCCAAATCCCGGACCGATTCAACACGAGGCATGACACTGTCTTCCATGTGGTATCGATGATGCACCGGAGACATGGCACGCGTGCAAGACATTATATTGCACTTGTTGACATTGAAGAAGAGTTTGTTTTTCCGACTCCAATCAATTACCAGATCAATGTCATTTTGTAGGCGCTTACAATCCTCTTTATCGACCACACGTAGAAAAAGCTTTAAGTCATCAGCAAAGAGCAAACAACACGCATTCTGGACCACCTCTGGTAGATCATTAATCATTAGAATAAATTCTAATGGCCCAAGGTTGCTACCCTGGCTTACACCAGATAGCGTGCGATATTGGTCTGATACATGTCCACAGTAGTCGACGTATTGCCTTCGGTTCCCGAGATAACTCGCAAAAAACTGGAGTAAATCTGGCGTGAACCCTGCCATCGCAAATTTGGTTAACAGTATGTCATTATTAACGCTGTCAAAGGCCTTTTTGAAGTCAAAATAGGCAATATCCAGTTGGGCACCAGCCTCCGAGTCGAGGGCTTGTGTAGCATAATTCATAAAACACATGAGGTTAGAGCTAGTACCACGACCCGCACGAAATCCATGCTGCTCATCACAGAAATGTGCACTCACTTGTGAAGTTATACTTGCAGATAACGCGGACTCAAAAACCTTTGCAAACGTAGACAATACTGCAAAAGGCCGGTATCCATTCACATCCGAACTAGGAGCCCCTTTGGGAACCGGAGTCACCCTCGTCAATTTCCATCCATCAGGGTAAACATTTTCTTTTAAACAAAGATTAAATAAGTGTCCCATGTTGATGATTTTGTATCGCCGCCATATTGGAATAACGTTTCATTTTAAGACTATACAATATGATGATGATCATTTAGACCATCCATTGTAAAATAATGACAATGAGGCTAAACGTGTGCCGTCATATTGTAGAACGTTTCGCATTGACAACACGAGTAATCGAGCAGTCGCCGTATCCCAAAACGGCCCCGCTGTTATAAATGGCTAGGCGTACTGTAATACGGCGGATGATACAATTCGCCTACGACATATACATAGTATTAAAAACCTAGATAACAATAGGTATTAGGCTTATTCATTCGCCAATTATAGGTTAACTAACTTTATAATTGAGTGATAAGAGTCTATAGAAACGAAAACGCATAAATAATTTTGATAAATTAAAAAAATATAAAGTAGTCAACGTATGTATGAGTCTGGGTATTTGTGTGTTTGTAAGTCACCGATATAGTCCAGCAGATTACCGCACGGTTGGCACAGTGGCTGAGTGATCGGCTGCTGAGCATCGTGTCGCGGGTTCAGCAAGTTTTCTGACTAAAATGACCATTATTAGCCCGGAGTCAGGAAGTTTGGTTGTGGTTCCACCTCCACTTCCATCCCCCAGAAAGCACGTATCGCTGTTGGTCCTGCGCCTGATCTCCAATCGTGTCGGTCTGCCGTCCCATCGCGATCAGAGAGTGAGGGAACAGAGAGTGCTCTTGTGTTTGCGCACGCACTTGTGCACTATAATATCTCCTGCGTAGTGGACTAATCAGACAAGGAGGCTCATTATCAACGCTCTGCTAGCCAACCTATGTGGCATGCCAACTGCCCACATAGCTTAGATAACCGACGGCTGCTGGGGCAGTAAGGTCCTCGAGTGGAGGCCACATACCGGCAAGCGTCGCACAGGACATCCACCAACACAGTTGACAAACGACTTTTGTCTATCTATCTGTTTGTACTGGCTAATCTCTGCAATGGCTGGACAGATATTGACGCGACTTTTATTAGCAAGTAGCTGATGTAAGGAGTAACATAGGCTATTTTTATTAAGTTTTTTGGAATATTGAAACAAAATAGTTATGTTTTAAAATTCACAAATTATCCTATGCGGACCAAGTCGCGGGCTTATGACAGCGATATATTTTTATAACAATAATTACAATGATTAATCTAAAGACCTAAACATTGACTTTACTTGACCTGAAATTGTTTATTTAATTTTGTAAGAACAAGCCCCAATATTTATTTATTTATTTATTTATTTATTCTTTAATGTACATAATTTTTTTATGGTACATAAGGCGAACTTAATGCCATATGGCATTCTCTACCAGTCAACCTTAGGGTTTAAGTGGAAAATCTGCGAAAACTGAGGTACGGAGAATAAACTAACAACAAAGAGAGAGAGAGAGAGGGAGAGGAAAAAATAATGGTAATTATTAAATAATATAGTTATACATATATATTACATAATAGTAAATAGTATATATAGTCATATGCATAAAATATATAGGTATAAACACATACATAAATATATATCGACGAAGACCTAGATCTAGCGTTGCAGCGATTTTAAATAAAATTCATGAACTTGGTGTTTGAAGGAGATTTTATTAGGAGCTTTTTTGATATTGAGGGGGAGCGCATTCCAAAGTTTGATGACACTTATTGTAAAAGAATTAGAAATAAAAGAGTTGTTTCACGTCGGTCTTCTATGAGGCCGTGGTATCACTCCGGTCGAGCCGGCCTATTCGTGCCGAAGCATGACTCTCCCACACTTAAGGGGTGTGGGGAAGTAGGCAAGCGTGTTCGCCTTCTGCGAAGCAGTTATGATAGCTAAGGAGGAAACGGAGCTCAATAGGAAACGGACTTCCCCATATCCATCGCCATGTGTGACGTTCTAGGTACAGCATAACCGAAGGTCTTCGGATTTTTAAGCTTTTACCTTGAGAATAGCAGATTGCACCTACATACTTCCATACAATAAAAACAATAACAAAAAATGAAACTATATAATCTGATGTGATGATTGTTAACTTACCTAATTGTATGTATAACCGGTAATACTAGTTTCTACATATATACGAAGATAATTTTATCGTTAACGTTTTGGAGACCCTTAGATCTTCCACAAATTTTCAAAAATTCTATAGAAATCTGTGGAATTGTTTTGCTTATTCTTTTTTTCTTTTCTCCGTTCATTCGCAAGGTGGACAGACGACCTGATCAAGGTCGCAGGGAGCTGCTGGGTGCAGGTCGCTTCCAACCGGCCTATCTGGAAATCATTGGGGGAAGCCTATGTTCAGCAGTGGACGTCCTGTGGCTGATATGATGATGATGATGATGATTCTTCTTTTTTGCTACGCTACTTTTAGATAAGGGCAGAGTACCAATAATGCATTTGTCACCACCGTTTCTCTTCATGTGTATTATATCCGACTAAAAGATTTACACTTCAAAAAAGGAGGAGGTAATCGGGGCTCCGGCTCGACGTGCAGGAGAAGGAACAGGGTGGTTTTTTGTCAGTAAGAATCTGACACTCCCTCCCGCCTCACCCAGGCGGGAGCAGACATTCGATGATATTCCCCCCTTAAAAATATATATATATTATACAGAACCTTTGCAGTAACAAGTTCGCTCTTGACATTTTTGTACTGAACACAAGATGTTGGAATTAGTCAGTCAGTCGAGTGTGTAATGAAGAGACAGAAACATGTGTATATTATATATATATATATATTTCGAAAAATAACTTTGTGTTAAAATGTTAACAATACTGTTTTTGTTTTGTTTGTGTACCGTCGTGAAGTTACGAGGTATGTTTGCTTTTCTGTTTATTTATTTATTTTTTTATTTACATTTACCATTACAGGATGACCCGATGCGATAAATGCGAACTATTTAATCCTGACTTATTGCTTATAACTAATTACAAACGAAGTGCTCACCCGTAGCAGTTATATTATAACGTTCGAGATTGACTTAACATTTTTTATACAAATATAAAGACAAATGCTTTATTGTGTTGTACAATGTTTTACTTAGGTGGTAACATAGAATAATACAGTTCATTGTGGACCCTGTCGAGCACAGCAAGGAAATATATAGTTTTAATACAAAAAATGACAAACTTGCATTTTGATATAATACATACGAACAATAAAAAAAATTAAACAAATTATAACAAACGTTGTGGTAGTAACTTAACTCAACATTTTAAGCCGGTAAACGAGCAGACGGATCACCTGATGGTAAGCAATCGGCGTCGCCCAGGGACACCTGGAACACCAGAGGCGTTACAAGTGCGTTACTAGCCTTTTGGGGATTAGGAGTTTGAGGATTATTGGGGATTCAGGGATTGGGGAGATTGGGGAGGTGGGGGAGTGTAATTGGGCCTCCGGTAACCTCACTCACACGACGAAACACAACGCAAGCGTTGCTTCACGTCGGCTTTCTGCTCGGCCGTGGTATCCTTCCGGTCGAGCCGGCCTATTCGTGCTTAAGCATGGCTCTCCCATGCTATTGTAGTAATTTACAAGGTTACCAGAAGTCTGAAGTCAGTTAGTTAGTCAGTCGTTAGTCAGAAACTGGTGACTGCTCGTTTGCCGCCATATTCTGTAAAAAATATTCGAACTTAATGGAAATAAAACTCAACATGCTCTCATGGTAGCGAACAGTGAACTAAATCTTTATTTCTTTCGGAAACAAATCAATCATACAGAGGGAATGAAATCAATAAATCAATAGAGTGAAATTAGCAAACGGAAATACAAACTGTCGTTCCTTATACTTAAATTATCTACTAGTGCCAATAGATGGCGTTAGTTGTTTCATTTGATCTTCGATCAACAATAGCAACTAGATAAAGGGTTACGTACAAAATCAAGCTCCAGTTCTGTCCGTGTGAATAATAATAGTAAAATTATAACAAACAGAGAAAAATGTTTTAAAATAGTTTTAAGTTCAACCTAATAACAACCATGGCACCTAGTAGTAAAGTCATAAATCGTCAAAATATTATCTAATACTTACGACCATTCGTCACATAAGACAAGAAAAGTATTTTTTAACTCCTGTCATGTAGACATTAAAAGACATAAGTTATACAATATCTAGTTTGAATACAACCTTAAGCTAGAACAAATAAAGATAATTTTTCCGTTATTACCTTGCGATGTTATATCGTTTTGTTTTGTTTCGTTTTGGTTTTTCGAATTTCGAATTTTGCTACAGGAGGTATGTATGGAGTAGCGTTGAACACTAAAATAATTTTATAAATTATGAAAATTAATATTTCGGGATCTTAGTATACATCACTTATTTTTATTAGCGGTACGTTTTTGTGTACGATATGTTTATTTGATTTATTATTAAAAGTTTAAGTCTCAGTCAAAATCATTTATTTCAGTTAGACCATGAAGGCACTTTTGAACGTCAATAATATAAATTTAAAAGTGAACTATTTGCTCATTCCAAGGTGTAGATTCCTATGGAGAGGAACGAGCAAGAAACTCCATAGGTTAGGTACTCTTTTCCAATCAGGTTACAATACAATTTTATTTTACAATACAAATCGACTCCATGCATCCACTGTTCTGTTTAAACAAATGTTTGTGCGCGTGTTGGCGATGCTTGGCCAAGGCTTCGCCAACATACGCACAAACATTGGTGGTGTTGTTTTATAATTGGTAATTTTGTCTAATTTGATATTATTTACTAGTTTAAAAGCTTAAAATATAACGTATACTTTATGGACATATCGTAAGTAAGACACTCCGGCCGTTATAGTGCTTTTTCGGTTATTATTTTTGCAAATTGCAATTACGCACTGCGGCATCGTGAGACGTGAGCACGTTGGCCGTGTTTGGAGCATACTAAACAAAATAAGAGCTCACTTCTCAAGTGAGCTCTTATTTGTCGAGACGATTTTCTTGCGCCGACCCGATATCTAGTTGTTATTGTTGATCGAAGCATTTGATGCACAAATTCTAACAGAACTACTAAATTGCTATAAAACGTTATCATAAAGTTATGTCTCATGTTTCAGAATGCCAGGACATTCAATCAAAACTCATACTACCATGTAAAGGCGATGAAATAATATACGACGAGTACTGTGGCAGCGATAATGAGTTCGCAGGGCAAGGAGGTATAGATGCTGAAGAAGACGGGTTCCCGCATTTGGTAATCAAAAAATAAACAAAGTACTACGTAGTGTGGCGTAGTTAAGCATAGTAATGTGTAGTATGGCGTAGCAGTGCATGGAAACGCGTTGCCTGCACTGCGTAGCTATTACGTAGTAAGACGTAGCATTGCGTAGCTATTACGTAGTAAGACGTAGCATTGCGTAGCTATTACGTAGTAAGATGTAGCATTGCGTAGGTATACCTAGTAAGAAGTAGCACTGCTTAGCTATGAGTAGTAAGATTTATTTATTAATACTAATAAACGGTACAAAAAGCCAATTACACAACTCAATAAATAAACAATTGAAAGAAACAATACATTTAAACACTTAATCAATTTTAAGGCGTAACACTGCGTAGCTACACGTTGTAAGTCGTAGCATTGCGTAGCTACATGTTGTAAGTCGTAGCATTGCGTAGATACACGTAGTAAGTCGTAGCATTGCGTAGATACACGTAGTAAGTCGTAGCATTGCGTAGATACACATAGTAAGTCGTAGCTCTGCGTAGTATAGCTTAGTACTTAACATTGTAGTGTGAAGTCCCCTGTAGAGTACCCTGTCGAATGTAGAAGTACCCCTATTCCGTATTATTAATATTTGTTTCTTGTTTCTTATTTCAGGCTCCCCTGACGTACGATAAAGTGTTCAATGAATCAGAGTTCGGATGTGGAAGCTCTGTGATCAGTGAGAAGTTTGGTCTGACGGTTGCCCCTTGCAATGCCACCTCTGCAAGGTGAGAACTTATCATAAAACTATATCCGACGGTTCCCCCATCTTAAAACCGAATTACATCTTAAATTAGGTTAAAAGTAGCCGTACCTAGATTAAATGTTTATCGTTAAAGAGCCATGCTTCGGCATTAATAGATCGGCTCAACCGGCGTGGAACAATGCTCTCTTTCGCTGTGCGAGTGGGGTTACCGGAGCTAGTTGTCATAAAGTGAGAAATTGAGAAAATGAGTGGTCGCAAGAGCGACTGCCGGGCAAGGGGTCTCGGGTTCGATTCCCGGGTCGAGCAAAGTATTACTAGGTTTTAAAAACCTCAGTAGTAGCACGGAGTCTGGAAATACGCCCGGTATATGGCAATAGGCTCACCCCCTATTACATGGGACTTATCATAACATAAATAGTGAAAAGTGGGTGTTACATTGTACAGTGGCATTAAGTGCCGTAATGTTCACCTCTGCCTACTCCTTCGGGGATAAAAGGCGTGACGTTATGTTATGGTCATAAAGGTTCAATCGGTCTCCCAGACCCCCCTCATATGGCGACACTGGTGTGGTCCTAGGTTTTAGTGGCTTCTCCCGGAGCGTCCCACATATCCCTTCCGTCCCCCAAACGGGAGGACGGTAAATAAAGTAGTTTCCAAAGGATAATTATAAAAAAGCTCTGACTTTCGGCCTCCATCCTACATTCCCTGGTCCAAATCCCTAAAAGGTAGTTGGCAAAACACATTTAACTCCTCTGGTGTCCATTGCCAGTGCCAATCGCTTACCATCAAGTCATACGTCTGCTCGTTTGCCGACCATTTCGTAACAATTTTTGAATAATGTCTTTATTTTCAGGGTTCCTGTTTGGTACGCTGTATCTGGATTTCTCCAGCGTAAAGATATGTATGATATACCTGAGAAGAACGTTCGAGGTGTACAGAAGATTATCAAGCATTCAGAATATAAGCCTTATGATATAGCTCTGCTGGATCTAGATAAAGAGTAATAATACATTTCGTTATATTACAAGCTGTTGTGACTGCCTCGTTGGTCGAGTGGTCGTAACTGCGACTGCTGGACAAAGGGTGTCGGGTTCGATTCCCGGGTCTGACAAAGTGTTACAGGGTCTTTAATTTTCAGTAGTAGCACGGAGGCTGGAATTGTGCCTGGTATATGGCAATAGGCTCGCCCCCGATTACATGGGACTCATAACATAAATAGTGAAAAGTAGGTGTTACATTGTACAGTGGTATTAAGTGCCGTAATGTGCACCTCTGCCTACTCCTATATTATTAACTCGTCGAGTACCGGTTTCGTAGACAAAATTATAGAACAATAGGTTGCGGTCACCGGTGACCGCTTGGTGTTTGACAGTTTAAACAGTGTTATTTAGCTTCCCTCTTTTGTTTCTTTGTTTGAGTCTTTAGTAGCAGTAATGTCCCCCCCTTCCTGACGACAGATCCATCTGATATTTGGTACACACTCTTAATCTTGATGACCATCACTACTGAAGGATCAATTCAGTTCACTTGAGTAAAATACAAGTTAGGTAATAATTGGTTTTAATCCGTACAGTTCGATCGCTGAATACAAAGTGTCCCTCCATTCGAAGTACATTATAATATTACTTTTGATGTCGGTAGACAGCAAAAGTTAAAAAGCAATAATGTAATTATCACAAATAATGTTACCAGCAGTCAACTTAATATTATAAAGCTAACACTACATAGTATAAAACAAGGTCGCTATCCGCCGTCTGTCTGTCCCTATGTATGCTTAGATCTTTAAAACTACGCATCGGATTTTGATGCGATTTGTTTTTATAGATAGAGTGATTCTTAAGGAAGGTTTTTATGTATAATACATGCATATTGCACCCGTGCAAAGCCGGGGCGGGTCGCTAGTACAATATAATGTAATTGTTTCCACAACTAAGAACGAGGATTCTAAGATTATCTAGAGCTAGACACCACTGACAAACGGTGAAGGAAAACATCGTGAGGAAACCAGGAATTATAATTTCTAATTATAAGTTTGAAATCGCCAACCCGCGTTGAGAAAAGCGTATTGATTAATGCTCAAACCTTCTCCGTATGAGAAGAGGCTTTCGTCAGTAGTGGGGCATTCATAGGCTGCTGATGTTCCACAAGTACCTCCATTTATCAAATGAAAGGGCTTAATCGATAAAATAGAGCTCATTGAAACCGTTTTTTTATTGCATAAGTCGGTAAACGAGCAGACGGATCACCTGGTGGTAAGCAATCGGCGTCGCCCATGGACACCCGAAACACCAAGGCGTTACAAGTGCGTTACCGGCCTTTTGCGAATTGGGATTGAAGATTGTGGAGGATTCCAGGATTCGGGAGACTATCACTGCGAGGATCGCCCGGAGGACACGGTGGAGCATACGGTGGCGGTGTGTCCTGCGTGGACTGAGCACCGCCGTGTCCTTAGGAATGTGATCGGCGACGGCGACCTCTCGCATCCGGCTCTGGTTCAGACCATGGTACGGAGCGAGGGGGACTGGGATGCCGTCTCCTCCTTCTGCGAAGCAGTCATGCTAGCTAAGGAGGAGGCGGAGCGAGTCAGGGAACGAACCTCCTCACGACCCGGCCGTCGCGAGAGACACTCCGGGCGTCGGGGATCGCGAGACGATCTCCGGCCACCGTAAGCACGGGCCTGCGGACGGCGAGCACGGGTGACTCGCCGCCCGACCAGAACCAGGCCCGAGCGTACGGCGCGTCGCGTTCCGCGCGCGCCTCAAGGAGCCATCAGACCACCACAGATGGGGCCTAACAGGGCTGATGCCGATACGGAGCCGCGGAAGACTTAACGGGTTGCCGGGGCTCCGGCTCGAAGTGCAGGAGTAGGAACGGGGTGGTTTTTAGTCAGTAAGAGTCTGACACTCCCTCCCGCCTCACCCGGGCGGGAGAAGTCATTGGATGATTTTCCCCCCTCAAAAAAAAAAAACAAAGGATTCGGGAGACTAGGGAGGGGGGTAATTGGGCTTCCGGTAACCTCACTCACACGACGAAACACAACACAAGCGTTGCTTCACGTCGGTTTTCTGCTCGGCCGTGGTATCACTCCAGTCGAGCCGGCCCATTCGTGCCGAAGCATGGCTGTCGACACTTAAACAATATTTACATACATCTGTTCACATAAAAAATATGTTTTGTGTATTTCATTATGTTATTGTTATTGAATCTTATTATTTTCTTTCCAGGATAGTCATAAGCGTGATAATTAGACCTTCGTGCCCTCAATTAGTGGACACAATGTATGACAGAGCGTACGTCACTGGGTGGGGGGCAGTAGGACATAGGAGGATGAATGCCGATGTACTACAGAGTGTAAGTCGTGATCATTGTCATCAGCTATCCTTTATCATCAACGTTACAGTCCACTGCTGCACTATGAGTCTCCTCTACATAAGAGGGTTTGTCATAATCTCCGCAGGCAGGCGGGTTGGAGGTCGCAGTATAAAAGGTTCAGGGTTATCAGAGAGCGCTGCTGCCCGGTCTCTGTCTAATGTGTAGTTCCTTAAGTCGGGTATACGACACCCACGAGAAGAGTAACGGTGGAGGTAAATGTAATCTACTCAGCAGTCATCACACGGCTATCATATCATTAATACCGTAATCTATCCTTGTTCTGAATTTCATTCCGGTCCCTTCGGCCATTTTGACGTGAGTGAGGCACAAACATTTTTTTTATGGCATAAGCTGGTAAACGTGCAGACTGATCACCTGATGGTAAGCAATCGGCGTCGTCCATGGACACCTGGAACACCAGAGGCGTTACAAGTACATTACCGGCCTTTTGGGGATTAGGAGTTTCAGGATCGTTGGGGATTCAGGGATTGAGGAGATTGGGGAAGGCGAAGGTAATTGGGCCGCCGGTAACCTCACTCACACGACGAATCGCAACGCAAGCGTTGCTTCACGTCGGTTTTCTGCTCGGCCGTGGTATCACTCCGGTCGAGCCGGCCCATTCGTGCCGAAGCATGGCTCTCCCACATACACACAAACTTATGCTATAACAAAATAACTAGGTTTTGCCCGCGACTTTGTACGCGCTGATCCCGTTTTCTCCCGTTCCCGTAGGATTATCGGGATTGTTTCTGTCTTAACGCAACCTTCTCCTAATAATAACAAATACAACAGAAAAAGAATTAGTGAAATCGGTCCAGCCATTAATGAATCACGCGTGATGCCGTGACCAAGAGAAAATTGATTCATTTTTATATAATACTTTACTTCACTTACTAATAAGCTTTTACCCGCAGCTTTGCTTGCGTCACAAAAGGATAAAAAGTAGCCTATGTGACATATACCAATACACGCAGCGCCATCTATACCAATTCTTTTGTTTTTCCTCGGGAATACGAATTTTTTCCCGGTTAAAAAGTACCCTATTATTTAATCCGGACTTCTAACTGTACGTCTGCAAAATTTCAAAGCAATCGGTTTAGTAGTAACGGCGTGAAAGCGGAACAAACAAACAAACTTACTTTCTGATTTATAATATTAGTAAGGAGTAAGGATGAGGACTAGCGACCCGTCCCGACCTCGCAAGGGTGCAATATGCATGTATTATACATATAAACCTTCCTTAAGAATCACTCTATCTATTTAAAAAAATCGTATCAAAATCCGTTGCGTAGTTTTAAAGATACATAGGGACAAACAGACGGCGGATAGCGACTTTGTTTTATACTATGTAGTGATTTAGATATATCAGTTACTGTGTCAGACACTCAAATGTGGGCTGTGGGAGAGTCATGCCTACCGAGGCATATAACAGAAAACCGACGTAGACAACTATTGCGTTGTGTTTCGTCGTTTATCGGAGGCTCAATTACTCCTCTCCCCAATCCCCAAATTCATAACCCACAAAAAGTCGGTAATGCCCTTGTAACCCTTCTGGTGTTCCAGGTGTCCATGCGCGACGCCGATTGCTTACCATCAGGTGATCCGTCTGCTCGTTTACTGGCTTATGCCATACAAAAGTTGTTGTTTTAAATCACACGTGTCATTATTATCTATTTTACTTTACTATGTTCTTTTTTTTTTCAGGGCGACAGCGGTGGACCTTTTAACATTAGAAATCGGTATATATTTTGTACCTATCCTCAACGGGAGAGTGACTTACATACATACATACATAACTTCACGCCTGTGTCCCATGGGGGTAGGCAGAGACTATTTTTTTATGGGGGGAAAATCATCGAATGACTGCTCCCGCCTGGGTGAGGCGAGAGGGAGTGTAAGACTCTTACTGACTAAAAACCACCCCGTTCCTTCTTCTGCACGTCGAGCCCGAGCCCCGGTAACCCATTAGGTTCTCCGCGACTCCAAAGGCAGAGACTATGGAACGCCAATTACTACGATTCCAAGCTTTTTCGCTTCATCAACAGTCATCAATCTTTTCATGCATGCTCGTCGGTTAAGGGTACTTTTAATTTGGCCCTTCTTTAATGTATCGCCAATCTGGTCAATATAATGTCCGTCTAGGGCGCCCTCTACTGACGGGCCCATTCATATCCGTTCAGTCTTTCTAACATTTATTTAAAATAACTAAAATATATCGCTATCGGCGAGGAATTATTTATATCAGCAGAAACATAAACTATAGTTGTATTGTAACTTTCGTGCGACATACTAAATAAATTATTATGTTTTCGGCTTACTCACGTAATAATTTGACGAGGAACTCGACTAGTTTCAAGCCATGCTAGAGGCTCATATTCATGAGCAGCGACCCGCGACGCGGCGATTGTCGCGCTGCTACAGCAGCAGCGTCAAATTATTACGTGAGTAAGCCGAAAACATAATAATTTATAAAATATAGTATACGTCTGAAAGAATTGTCAAATATTCAAAAATTTCCTCAGCTAAAATTTATCTGGCGTTGGAAAACTCGGCTCTTATAAATATCATCTAACAGTTAGCTTGCGACCTACGTCACGCTAAATGACTCTTAGTTAAGTGATAGTTTAGAGGTGTTTGGAGAAAACTGCCATTGGGATCTTGGTTTTCTTTATTCTTTCACCATGTCTTCTTTTTATACAGCATAATAGAAAAGAAAAAAAAATGGACGAGTCTAGTGGCGAGCTGGTACCCAAAAGATCGAGAAGGACAGAATAGGACAATAGAGGACAACTTCGGGACTTTAATCAGTCCTACATGGACAAGGACGGGAAGAAATAGGACAGAATCGGATTTGTTAGAGGACAATTTCGTTGGAGAACAAGTTGAAGAGTACAGTAGAAGTTCTTTCTTTACGGTTTTGGATTTTGTAGTTTCGGTATTTGCAAGTTAAATATTAATTTTTGTGATTGTGATGAAATTGTATTATGTTTTTATAATAACTATCGTGAGACACACTAAATTAAGTAAAAACTAATAAAAATAATAATATTAATTATAAAATAATAATATTAATTATAAAAGTACTTGAATTTTTGTTAGTTATATACATACAACATCATAACATCACGCCTTTTATCCCCGAAGGGATAGGCAGAGGTGTACATTATGCCACTGGACAATGAAACACCCACTTTTTACTATTTATGTTATGAGTCCCATGTAATAGGTGAGCCTATGGCCTATTGCCATATACCGGGAACAATTCTAGACTCCGTGCTGCTACTGAGATTTTATTTTTTAAACTCAGTAATACTTTGCCCGACCCAGGAATCGAACCCGAGACCCCTTGCCCGGCACTCGCACTTGCGACCACTCGGTCAATGAGGCAGTCACAACAGCTTGTAATATAACGAAATGTATTATTACTCTTTATCTAGATCCAGCAGAGCTATATCATAAGGCTTATATTCTGAATGCTTGATAATCTTCTGTACACCTCGAACGTTCTTCTCAGGTATATCATACATATCTTTACGCTGGAGAAATCCAGATACAGCATACCAAACAGGAACCCTGAAAATAAAGATTTTATTCAAAAATTGTCTCAGTAATACTTGCCCGACCCAGGAATCGAACCCGAGGCCCCTTGCCCGGCACTCGCACTTGCGACCACTCGGCCAATGAGGCAGTCTTTATATACGTAACAATAAAAGCTTATTATTTCATTTGTTTTTATTTTGAGCGCATCTTTATCTATATCTATACTAGTCTATACTAATATTATAAAGAGGAAAGATTTGTATTTTTGTATTTTTGTATTTTTGTATGTTTGTAATGAATAAACTCAAAAACTACTCGACCGATTGCAATAATTTTTTCACCATTAGAAAGCTGCATTATTCAGAAGTAACATAGGCTATATAATATCACGCTAGGTCCTATAGTTGTGGAGCAGTAACCAAAAATGTTTTAAAAACGGGGGAAAAGTATCGTTTCTGAGGCCTTCCGTGGCGTGCGCTGAGCATATAGTTAAAGTTATACAAAAATGCTCTATAGATGAATTGTTCATCTTAACATTATTTTTAAAAAAGTCCGCGAGAGCATATGTCTACCTTTTATAGTTTACCCATAACAATCGTTTTAATGAATGGTTAAATCCTTATAAAACTTTGCTCTAGATAACTTTTGAATTGTTCAATCGGTTACCTTAAGACTATTAATTCATCCAAAAGATACCTATTAGGTAAGTACTTACATTCTATTTCAAAAATAATAAACTGAGAATACATATAAATAAAACGTAAAACTATGTAAAAAATCTTAAGTCCCCCCGTGCGAAGCCGGGACGGGCCGCTAGTCACCTATAAATTAGAATGTCTGTTTTTTAAATTAACTCGTCGAGTACCGTCATTATAGACACAATTATAGAACAATAGGTTGCGGTCACCGGTGACCGCTTGGTGTTTGACAGTTTAAAATACTGCTTTTTACTACATACGAATATAGAGGTACATACGGTAGACATACCAAAATAATATTTTTTACAATTTTAGTTTGTCTCTGTTTATACCATACCATGTTATAGTAGGGGAGCCCATGAAGGGATTTCGGTAGTTACTCGAGCGCGTCAGATTAACATATGGGGAAAACCTAGTGTCATGTTGAATATACCCAACATATATCCGATCTGATTAGAAGGGGGGGACTGAAAATTAAAAAAAAAGTCTGACTAAATAAAGTCAGTTTCGTCAGATTAAGGGAAGGTAGGTCAATACCGTGCTAAAGGAAGTGCGTTTAAAAAATCTGCCCATTCCAACTTGATTTGCAAGAGTGGGGGGATTTTGAAGGGTTCTCGTTTGTACTCTCCAGAACATTCAACCCCACCATGCAAACTGGCAGATTAAGAGTTTTTTATTATTAAATGCACATGGAGCATGTACATTATCAATATCTGACACGCTCGACCACTAGAACAAAAGTTACGCTTAACAATTTCAAAGATCTGTAGATTCCCCTTTCCCCCACTGGTGGAAGAAATTGTCACTAAACCATTTCTTCTTTCTATCAGCATATCTTCAAAATCCAGTAGGTCCCAAGGATGCTCAAGTAAATCCCAATTTAGCATCATGGGCTCCCCTACTACTACTATCATCTACCATCTCTAGAATGGCTGCACCAATTTTAAATACAGGTCTTAAATATACCTCTATACAATCAAGTAGATCAGCTATGTCCCACCTTTTAGGCATACAAATAGTCAATACAAAAGTAATATTTTTTTTATTATGGTATAAGCCGGTAAACGAGCCGATGGATCACCTGATGGTAAGCAATCGTCGTCGCCCTTGGACACCTGGAACGCCAAAGGCGTTACAAGTGCGTTACCCGGCCTTTTGAGGATTAGGAGTTTGAGGATCGTTGGGAGTTCAGGAATTGGGGTGATTGGGGAGGGGGAGGGTATTTGGGCCTCTGGTAACCTCACTCACACGACGAAACACAACGCAAGCGTCGCTTCACGTCGATTTTCTGTGAGGCCGTGGTACCAATGTGACTTTGTCCGATTTATATGTACTTTCTAAGATTATCTAGACACCACTGACAAACGGTGAAGGAAAACATCGTGAGGAAATCTGGGCTTATAATTTCTAATTATAAGTTTGTAATCGCCAACCCGCATCGAGTGCGAGTGGTGATTAATGCTCAAACCTTCTCCGTGTGAGAAGAGGCATTGCTCAGCAGTTGGCATTTATAGGCTGTTTATGATATCATTAATTAAATTTAAAACAAAAAATAAATCAAACAATTACAATAGTAGAAGGCAAGACTCGGGAATTGAACCAATGTCTCATTACTCAATAGTCTATCCTATGACTAC